AATATCCTTAAGGTCGATGTAAGGAGTCACAAGTGGAACTAGAAAAAAGACACTAATCATTATACAGACTTGTTTAACAAGTATCGGTTTTATATAATCTTTAATAACGACTATATAGTACTTGAGACAGTATATTAATTTTCAAGCCAAAAAAGATGAGATTAAACTTGATTTTTCGAATTCATTTGAGTGAAACATTGTATTCGAATCTTTAATGAATATTTTGTTATTTAACGATTAATAAGCTCAATGATAAAGTTTGTATTTGCAAAAAAACGAATGGCAACTGTATGATTCGAAGCAATAAAAGTTATAGGTATTTATTTGTATTGGTTGCTTAAGTTTTCCAATTGATGCTTAGAACTGTAACTGATCCATCTTTTATTAGCATATGTACATCCGGTTCGAAGTGCCTCGATAATGCATTCATTCACAAGTATTATAAGCATAGGCTAGTGGCCATCTGGACTCAGTAGATAAGTGGATAACGCGAAGGCGTTTAAAGCGAACGGTACTGGGTTCAAGTCTACGAATAAACATTAACTCTGAGATTCAGGCACAATCATCTGATAAGCCCCAAATAAGATGAAACCCGCGTCTTTGATTCCAATGCTAGGCACCATCATCTCTGTCTGTAAATACAAGTTATTTTTGAACTAATGGCTTTCCAATCAGTCCTATTGATAAATATAAACGTTTCCCTTTCCAACTAACATTTTGTAGCAAAGTTATAAAACATGGATTCAGTAAATTGTTACATGATCAAATACTGTTATTCTACTTTGAATATTACTTGTACACTATTGTATGTGACTTTATTTCGTTTCATCTTCAATTTTGTATTCATTAGGTTGCTTTAATTTACGTTTCATTAACTTTGATAATGTGCAATACTGAACAACCTAGATATGCTTAAATTTATATACTTCTCACTTTGTGGAATTTCGTCTTTTTTATTATTTAACTGATAGACTCATTTAGAAGGAAATTATAGTACATCTAACCCTTTGGAATTTCTCATATAATTTGATCATGCATTTGCATAAATAGATTTCAGAAATATGATATAATATTTTTGTATTTTATAACTTGTCCTGTTGAGTTGTTGCCGAAAATCACTTGTATATTCCGTCGTAAACTTATATGATACTACAAAAGATTTACCGATTCTATTCTGGTAGATGTGTATATTTCACTGTGATATATCATTGATACAGGTTTATAACAGGAAGACAAAGAATGAACTGATGACTATCAGTTTGCTTGATACATAATCATGTTTCACGACTACTTCAGTGCAACATAACACAGTTTATATCTAACTGATGTAATTTCTTATAAAATATTTAAGACTCATTATTGGCTTATAAAAGTATTTCAGGTTTTAAGCAGGATAGGATTCGATCTGCACTAAGAAGGAGTTGACATATATAACATTGATCACCACCCAGTGATCAATCAATTGTCAATACATCTCACTTCTACAGGAGGTTGATCTCAGCCCGGGTAGTGTCTGACTGTGAAGCTAGGTGCTACGGAATTGAATTCGTCAGGGAGCATCAGTTCCTTCAAGATTACAGGTACGCCTTGCTGACAAATGCTGAGTAGCTACTCTTCTTGGAATTCATACAACTTATAGATATACTTCATAGGATCTTATGTATAAACAAAATTAAACTAAATGAAATGTTATAGATTCAATAGTGCCATACATGAAACTATTATTATGATACTTTAATCAGTTGCTTATAAACTTTTATAATAAAACGTGAAATATCGATATTATGGCCATTTCGTTCATTGTCTTACGCTGCAGTCATTCATATAATGTAAATACTTACATACGCTCTAACACCTCATGGATCATGAAAAACCGACTTCGATTCACCAACTCTCTGTTTTGTGCTCTCCTTACATTTGTTTTCAAGTGTTATTCATTATTCTGATGTTTACCACCAATTCCCGAAGAACTCTTTTCTTTGATCTGCTTATTTTACTTTTACTTTCATGATTCCAAATTAAAGGCTTGCCTCGTGAAGTTGTTTGATGATCTCCGTAATATATTTCCTATCCATGCAATATGCATAATTCATCGTATAATCTTCAAAATTTAATTCATGTTCATTTATATTTTAAAATGTACATTTTATTTCTCTGTCACTATTCAAATCATATTCAACGTACCGTTAAATAACTATGTATAACCATTGGACTAAAATAGTAAAACATTTCTGTTGTTCTATTTTCGTTCCTCTTTTTTTAAAAAAACTTTTTTTTCTTGTTCTTCTAAACTGTTTGAATTTGATGATTTTCTTTTTCTTGTCTCATCTTTTTTATACATCAATTTGTTGATTATATCATAAAAATATTGATGAATATAAAATAGAAAAATGCAATAATATCTTTAACAGAAATGGTAACAAAAAATCATGTCATGTCATATTAATTTACGTTACAGTTAACTTTGTTGAAGTATCAAGTTTTCTCAAAATGTCAGTAACAGAATAACAATGACACGAAATGTAACACTTCTTTTCTTTCTTTTTTTATTCTTTGAATGTAACTAAAATATACAAGTATTATTTAGTTATTTGTAGTTAAATGTAAAATACTTATAAAGAGATGAATTTATATTTATATAGTAACCATGTCTATTGGTGAGAACATTTTGGTTAATGTTTAAAATAGTTTTACATTGTTATTTTGGGTGACATGGTCCAGAATTGATTACAATAGTGTAAGTATATACATTTATTGTCTTCCATTAAACCATGAGAATAAAATTGCTCTATAACTATTTTTTTTACAAACTAATATTTTCTTTTTGTATTATAGCGTTATACACAATCTTTCTTTTATATATCACTACTATTGAAGTAAATGGTTCTATAAATTTTATGTTTATCTTGTTGTGTTAATGAGGTGTGGCAAATTGGACCGATACATATATGTGCCTAGTTTTACGTTGTAGCTGACTGACTGTCTGATGTTATCATTAAAACATATAATAGTTGAATTCATGAGTCAATTAAAGCTAGACTACCATGGAAAACCTAAGAGCACTGGATGGCCATTTCATCCTAGTATGTGACTTCTTAATACTGCGCATCCACAATCTCGCCTCGCGGGATTGGAACCAGGGACCTATCAGTCTTGCGCGCGAACACTTATCCTCTAGACCACTGAGCCGGCATCCAATGGTGTTAGTGTCTAACTTCCACCAATTCATGAAATTGTGCAATTTAAAAGCTTATTTCTGTTGTAATATTTTTTAATTTGTCAAATGAATAAACTGGTATTCTAAAATTTTACACGTTTTTTTCTATTTCAAACATTTTTACTAAAAGCATATTATTTAAACAGTATCAAAAACACAGTCATCTAGGATGAAATGTTTACAAATCATTTACTACTCTTTATATTGTCCTGCTGATTGATTCATTGTATTCAATTCGGTTTTTAGAACATTTCTTAATAAAGTGCCTACAAGATGAAAGTATTTGTTACATCTAGAAGGTTGCTTTTTTGATATACCGCGTATAACTGAGCACTAGAACGCCAGAACCCTTCCACGTCACAATGATAAGGCAGAAGACTAATGAAAGGAATATTATTCCAAATAGTGTCAATTATAGTGCAAAATTGTCAGGTATTTATAGTTTTTAGTAAGAACGAATACATCATTACAGTCCTCCAATCCGCATACAGGAGGTTAATAGCATTGTCCAATTGGGAAGCTAAACGTAGGAATTCTAGAATATTCTTCCGAAAGGTGATTGGATGGAATATCTTCGGCTCCTTCTGAGCCTCTTACAGCTTCCTTGAGTTCACCCGTGGTCCGTCGTCACAGTATTAATATAATTCGATAAGTACTTATGAGTATTCCATTAGAAATGTATGTTACAGTAGATCATCTTAATTCATTTTTACTAAAGTATTCGGGATATTTTATGCATGATCTACGTGATATAAATTTATAAATGAATATTAGAAGTACCGAATGTAATTCTATTAGTAAGTTGTTGATCGACTGAATTATAACTTGTCATGGTATTAAATTAAAATAAGAAAGTTTAATGACATAATATTTACTCAGTATTAGTAAAAATGTTGATTTGTTATGTCAGGTATTTCGTGTTGCAAGTAGTTAGATAGAAAAAAATAAAATGAAACTACAAAAAAATCCAGTTTTTCGTTTTTACTATGAATGTCTATTGGTTAATTTGCAAGCATAGTTGTTAGTACGAGCTACTGAATATTGGTTATAGTTAAATTTTTTTTGAAATTATTTTATTATATTACGGCTTATACACTTTTCCTCGGGAGTCCAGTTTGTTATCCAAACAATTACATTATTACATTATTACAATGATGAAGAATAACAGACTAGTTTGTATCTAAACTACGTAGATTTATGCAAAGATAGATAGTGGCTAGCAGTGGAATCCAGGACACGCTTTTCATCCTATTTGGAACTCGTTAGCTAGATATACCAGCATCTGAGAAATGAGGTTCACTCCGAGACTAAAACTCAGTACCGTTTGCTTCAGACGCCATCGCGTTATCCACTTAGCTACTGAATCCTGATAGCCACCTGCTTGTGCGATGGGGTGAACTTTAAATTTACTTAGTGGTGTTTCACTTGTATATATGTTTTATTGATAAATCTTGATGTTTTTAAGTAAACAGATGATGAATTTTCAAAAATATTTGTGATCACGAAAGTGATACTAATTGATTTCACAATTAACCATGGACCTTATAGTAACAATTCATGATTTATAACGATAATATTCCACTCAGAAATGGTAAGTAGTTTTATTTATATTGATACAATTTAGGGAATTTCTCTCTATTTTATTCACATTCGTACTAATCATAAACGGAATGATCATTTATTCACGAAAATTATTCGTTAAAAAAATACCCCTAAAACAGATCTATTTGTCACATGTGTGAAAATGAATTATTTAATCTTGCTTATTATCTTAAATGATCAGGTTTCAAATGGAATACCTGAACTACGTTTTGATAATATTGTAATTACGTTAAGTTCACTAAACATTTCGGATGGAAACTGGCATGTCTTTGAAGTTACATTTACATCAAGGTGAGTAAATTAATTTTATTGAGAAAACAATGAATTGTTTTCTATTATCACTTTTGTACCTGATGGGATAGTACTGTTTGACAGATTAGAATACAAATTTTAATTGGTAAGTAAACAAGTATTTCAGTTGGTATATTCATTTGGTAATATATCAGTTCTATCAGTTTAAAAATCCTTATAGAGTTTTCAAAAACAAAGTATATGTGAACGGTCAATGGTTTACAATAACTTAGTCATCAGACTCTACAGTTATAAGTCCATAATTAAATGTGTTATTTTTTACAAAGGCCAAAATAAACCATGCTAGTAAATTAAGCAATGAAACCATGGAAATTGTTGAACATAATTAAAATAGTGAATTGACTAATTGTCCTGGGTTTGGATGCTCACTGCTGAGGAGCCCCGTACTAGGAAGAAACGGCGGTCCACCGTATCCAGGTTTTCAATGGTAGTCTAACGTTCATGATTATAATGTTATGTGTTAAAAAATAAAGATTTTTCTCATCCGTTACGTCATAAATACCTGAAAAATGTGTCACATGTAATTTAGGAAGGTTGTTTACTAAAGGTCGGAATGATTCGTTACAAAGTATTACTTTATAACCAGTATAATAGTAATAAAATAATGTTAATGAAATACGAAGTAAGAGAATTTTGTCTTGGTAATTTTGTGTAAATATAATATGTATTAAGAAAGATACTATCAAGGTATTTATGATACGGATTTGTGTGAATCGGAAAAGATGCATGTGTATACTGAGAATGGTATAAATGCAAAAGAGATAATAATAATAATAAATTATATTCTGAAAAAATGATAATTACAGAATTCACGCCAGTTTACAGGCATGATCAATTTGATATAAATAATATCATAATATGTACAGAACAAACATGTGATATGAGTTTTATGTTTACTAGTTCAGTAATTGTTTAGGTATTACAGCGATCCGATGAATCAGCCGGGAACATGTAATATTTCTTAACTGGACAGCCTGTTGATTTATGAACGGTGTAATTAAGGTCATTTCGTGTGCCAGATCGATTTAATGATAAATATCTACAACTAGAGAAGTTAAAACGAAAACAGAGAGCACGAAACAACAGAGCAGTAATTACCGAAATATGCCAATCAGATCTATCAAAATGCGTATGTCATGTGACACAGTGATATACTGTTGATGATATTCAAATTAGTTAAACTAGCTGGGGACGGTATTAACATAAAGTGACAGCAAGTTGGTGGTTTTATTCATCGAATGCACTAATAAAAATGCCTAAACATTTAAAGTTCCTATAATAACACTTGTGGAGTGAGATACACTTGCAGGTGCTAGAGCATCCAATTTATTTTCGGAGGAGCAGTATGCATCGATGCAACGTACAAATAATGAGAGTGATTTTATCGTAGAATTTTATCGAGAGAATGTGAGGTTTATAATATCCACATTAGGTGTCTAGTCATCCAGTTATGGACCAATGTTTAACATACCTTTTTTGATACATAAGTTATTTGGAGCTAATCCAGATGACTTCGGCTATGTTGAAGAATTGTAATCTAGCTCCTTTAGATTTATTACATGGAACTTGATATCAAACAGAGAAGGCTTCATTTATTTTAATATGATGCTATCTATCAACTGAGAACGGATGGTGCCGTTAATACACTTCTGACCTCCATTTCCGATTATGGTGGTACATGTTCACAAGCATGCAAGTATAAAGCTTTCAGCGTATAATCGATGTAACTAAATCCACAGGAGGCTTTTGTAAAATAACACAATATTTACGAACTTATAACTGTAAAACCTTATAACAATCTCATTTAAAATGATTTTTCACTTAAACATTCTTTATTTTCAAATCCAGTTATGTATAATATCATGATTAATCTAGAGAAAATTTCATCCGAAATTATCGATCTTTCTTAGAAACATATGTTATTAAATGTTGAGGTAATAAAGTTTCAGAAAGTGATCGGCCTTTTTCAAAAAGTTTTTTATAAACTAATAATATTCCCAAATCTATAATAAAGTTTTCGTAATAAAGACACAGAATCGATATAAAGCTTCTTGATTAATCATTGAAGATTTGAACCATATTATATTTTTTAAAAAACAAACAAACAGATATTCATGAGATTCAGTATATTGTACAACAGGAAGATATAAAAGCTTGTACTACCATTATAATAAACGATATAGAGTATTTATGTTGTAATAATAATACTGATAATAATAGTAATAATAATAATCTGTAATAAGTTTTTCAAATACTTGTGCAATTAGATCCCATTAGTTTTTAAACAAATAAGTTAATTCATTAGTTATTACTGGTCTAGCTTCCATGCATTATAGGATGTTAAAACTTCATGAGGTAGAAGTTAATATTTATTAATTTTCCAAATTACCCATGTCATATTTTAACAATTATATGTTCACAGTCAGAAATATCATGAAGTTAAGCGATAACTTTAAGGTTCACTGAATAGTCTACAATAAGGATGCTTCCAAATAAATATTATTATGAATAGTTGGTAAGCTAGTGACAGATATTTCTAGTTTTTACTTAAAAACACTGAATATTAAACTCTTTGTAGAATCATTGTTTAACGGGTATTCAATTTGATTCATTAGCAACCAGTGATCTTTACTAAGACTTAAAACATTTTTCTTGTAAAAGATTTTTAGACTTCCAGGTCGATGAACTAGATAAAATATATTATGATTCAAGATATTTTCCAGAGAAATTGATTTCAAGAGGTTCAGTTGATATAATAATTGCAAACGGGGCTAAAGACAGTAAGTTTCATAAACTAATTGATGTGTATTTGTGATCTGTAAGGACGTATTAGTTTACAAGATATACACAACTTAATGAAATGACGTTATTGAAATGAATATTGGTTGCCTAGTTGGTGTAGAAATTTAAAGACGCATACTTTCTAGGTGTCAGAAATTTTTTAACCAAAATACCGTGGTGAGAAACTCACTGTAATAAATTTAAAACTTTTCACTAACCGTTAGATTTTATAACTCATTATGTAATACAATTATCAACCTAAGAATGTTGGCTTGAGTTTATATAGAAAGTTATTGAAAGTTAAGTGCTAATTTAGTGACTCAGAGGCCACTAATGATTTAATCTGACCCTTTAATAGTTTATTCAGTAATATCTGTTTTGTGAACTACATGACGTAAGCTTAGAAAAAAATCAAATGATTTCTTAAATCTACTAAGTTCAGCAGTTTATTATTGGAAGGTAAAATATCTTCTCAAGGAAATTACCCAACTCTTGTCACTTCTTTCTCCAATTTACACTATATCTATCAACAACATATCTCAAGATCAACAATTGTTCACAACCATTTATGATGATAAGAGATAGCCAAGATTATTCGTTCAAGAAATTATGACCAAATAGCTTGTCTGAATAAATTTTGTCGTATGTGTTACGAGTTAATTTGTTTTGATCATCGGTAAGTTATGTATTAAGAGGACTAAAACAGCAACTTCTTTGAATAGCATAACAAATTATACCACAAGCCTGTGAATTCAAATGAATTGTCATTATGTTATAGGTTGAATTTAATTAGACAATCGTCGAAAGTCAGAAAGCACTGGACACCTGATTTACTCTGGTATATAACGCCTCAGAAAATTGGACTCATAAATTCACATGACATTGACCTACAGATCTCCAGGTTTCATAGAAAACACTTAATCTGAAAACCTGAATGTTCTAGGTTTGATCTCTGTCAGTATTGTAGATGTTTACTACTGAGAGGTAATGCAATAAAACAAAACAGCTTCCTTGGGCATTCCAGTTTCTATCTAACGTTTAGCTAAAGAGAACATGTGTTTTAAACTAAAAATCCTACAGTCACCATAAATGTTCGATACCAGTATTGATTGTTGGTAATTGTTTTCCGCACATTGTTCTGTTAGTTTCCTACTTCGTGCTCATCTGACACAAAAGATTAAGTTGTGAATAGCATGTTTTGTATTTCGCTGCACATCTACAAAATGATCAGACATCACTCATTCGTTTTTAGTGAATCGTTTGAAAAATATGTTGTCTTCAAGTTTATTATCCTTTATCTATTTATAGCATGTCTGGATGATGCTTGGATCGATTTTCGTAATATATGGCCCGATTTTGAACAAGATTATCCATTGGAAATCATTATTAACCCATCATTTCAACGGTATACAGACTGGGGTACAGCTGGTAGAGAGTCAGGTTGTTCAAGTGGTCCTGGGTTTTGTAATAATTCAAAAAGTCTTTGTGATATTACCTCTTCTTGTATAGAGGAGTGGAGAGGTTATAGATGCGAGTAAGTTTCTAGTTGATGTCAGTTATTATTTGTATGCTATTTGATTGTGCAATGCTCAATTAAATGCACTGCTAAAACAAAACTGTCATTTTGTTTGAAATTAACCATCTTTTATTGGTAAATTTCGAATTCGTTTAGGAATACGTTGAAAATGTACTATTTATATAAATGAAATTTTCATACCTGTAATCTGTCATTTTCGCTGGCTTTTACTATTCCAAGTATATGTACAATAAAGTGATATTATTTGAATACGTTTTCCAGTGTTATGATAAATGTCTTAGTTGTAAGTTCATTTGATAACTCTTTTTACTGGTGTATGGTGATGTTAGGTTAATACAATTAATGACGTAAACTTTAGATAACTATAATCAGATGTCTAAGACTAATGGGGTACAATGAATCTGATAATGATACACTGTGAAATGATTTAAAAATTCAGTCATTCAGAGTAACCTTAAAGAAGAACAATATGATTTGTTGTTACCTTCATAATAGCCGTAATATATGGTTATGTACCTGAATATATTCGCATATCAGTTGACTGCAGTAAAAAAATTCGCATCCATTGATAGTTTGAAACATTTTTCTATCTTTTTAATCAACCGGACTCAGCTAATATGATAGTTACAATAATACAATCAAGTACATTAGTTCCAGTACCGAAATGTAATGAGCAAACCTTTCTAAAAGTATATTCAACTAAGTAACTTGCTTGTATCAACTAATTATACCATAATCAATAAAGTTAATTTAAAAAACACGGAATTTCATTAGTAATCAAATGTTGAGTTTCGTTGAAACATTTGGTTTTTAAACATTGAATCACATAACAAATTTGTAACTATAATATTTTAATGCGCTTGTATTCGGAACATTGCTTTTTCATTTAACAGTACAAAACAGAAGTGGTACTAAGTTTACTATTAATGAATTAATGAAAAAAAATGATTCCATCGATGAAACTTCAAAAATTTTTTTCTAGATGCTTGAATAACACAGTTAAAGATGACAAGGGTAAATGTGTTCCATCACAATGTTATCCAAATCCATGTGTTAATGGCGAATGTCGTGTACTCAATGGTGTTAGTAATTTTACATGTATTTGTTATGGAATCTGGACTGGACCATTATGTAATCAAGTTTCAAGCGTAAATATAGCTAGTTTAAGTTGGTGGTGGATTCTACTTGTTGTTTTACTACTGTTAGCTATATGTGAGTCATGAAGTATTTTTTTCTTTAATCAAACATGTATTTACGTCGGTAATTGTAAACCGACATAATATAAGTTCTATATTTATTATACGTAATCACGCCACCTAGACAAAACGATTGTCATGAAATCTTAAATTATTAATAGTAGATCCTTTATGATTCTTTTATTCTATAATATTCAGTTATTAAATTTATTTGCGTATGCTCTTTAAACTTCGGCAGAATTCATAAGTATTACTTATTCATAAGTCTTTTGAAATTCGTAACAAGCACACACATAAAAAGTCATGATATTTCTGATTTATGGAACAATAGTAAGATGATATAAATGATTCTTTACATTATGATGAATATTACTTATTCTGTATGGGAATTATGTTTTTCTTCTTCTTAACTAAAGTTAAAAGGAATTACAGTTCAGATGTTGTTTTTCGAGTCATTTTTGTAAATGGGTTCAAAAATTAATAAGGCTCGTAGAAGGTCTATAATATATTAAGAATTTATAGAAAATATTATTAAGTAACTAAGGTAATTATGTGGAAATATCCTATGCCTTTTTTTAATGTAGTTTATAAGTTGTATATATTTAGGTATGATTGTCTAAGGAGTTTAATGTTCCAAGTGGTTTCTCGACTGATATATATATATATATCAATGGTCAAGATCATGAGTCAGTTGACGGTATACCTCCATGGAAAACCTGGAAGCACTGGATGGCCGTTTCGTCCTATCACGGGACTCCTCAGAAGTGCGCATTCAATAGGTATATCCTGGAGTTCTAGTAAGAAGTAGTGACCAGTGGAGCTCAACCAGGTCTGTTGTGAGATAGTAACTCACTGAAGACAATGGTGGATGTGTCACTCAATTTTGTGGATTAGTTGAAGTTAGACATTAACACCGATGGATGCCGGCCGGCTCAGTGGTCTAGTGGTTAAGTGCTCGCGCGCGAAACCAGTAGGTCCTGGGATCGAATCTCTCAGGGGGCGAGGTCCAAATAATAGACTTATATCAGATACATAAAAATACATTTAAAATATTTATCTTGTGGTGGTTTCGCTTTGTTAATCAATCAACTTTGTAACTGTTATTATATAAATCCCATCGGTGTTTTAAATCAGAAGGCAATAAGAAGCAACAACTATAGTTTATTTACAGATAGCACACATAAAAATGTTATAAGCACATGAAGCGAACTTGAAGTAGATAGGTGAATGTGTGTCTAAAAGCGAATACAGAGGCAAATTTATAGTCAAATCGAACAAGGTGCGGCTAGGCTAGGCAAAGGCTAATAATAGGATTCGAGTACATATATACACGAAAAAGAGCGATTAACATTTTAGCTAGAGACATATGAGTATGCTGTCACATGTGATCAAGAGTACATGTTTATACGGACAAGATAGTGATCATAATAGTACAAAGTAATATACAAATTGTTACTAAATGAATGTAAGTAAGTTATTAAAAGGGCTCAAACAACATTAAACTATAATCGAAATTGATTGTAGGAGAGTTGTTATAATCTCTAGCACAAAAATCATCATACTATTTTTTATTTATCCTTAATTTATTTAGTGTTGGTAACAATTTTGTTAATTATCTGTTGTCGCAAACGTCGTAATAAGAAGAAATCTAATCTAATTGATTTTAACAATGAACTAAGTGATCAAAAGTTGGGTATAGATACTCAGATGAATGATCCATGGAGTACAGGTAATATGTTTATAAGTTTTTGTTTTTAGAATTTATTTTTTTGGTAACATTATTTTGTAGCAAAGTCCTGTAAATAAGCTGAAAAAGTGTTTCTTGGTTAGTGCAATTTTTGGAATATTCTTTGTATAATGTTTACAGTTTAAATATTTTTTGTCAAGCTTTCGATGATTAACATTCAATAGTCATAAAAGCTATAGGACTCTAAATAAACGTACGTCGGAACTAGATAACACACTTTATATTGACTTGTAGAGTTAAGAAACCAATCGTGAAGTATAATGAATGAAAATAAGTAAGTGAACATAGTTTTAACATAAATGAAACCATGAGGCAGAAGTTTTAAAATATTTTAAGCAAAGACGGATGATGGCTAACAGTACAATCCAGGATGAATGTTTCATCTTTCTTGGAACTCGCCAGTTGGGTGTACTTGGATCCGAGTTGGTGTTCACTCCAGGACTTGAATCGACTACCTTTCGCTTCAAACGCCGCTGTGTTATTCACTTAGCTACTAAGTCTTAATAATCACCTGACTATACAACGACGGCAATCTCGATTTTAATTCATATATAATGATCGTTTGAATCTTACCACTGATGTTTAGGACTACAGTTGATCAGTTTTATACACATATGCCGAAAGAGACTGATCGATTGTAGATCTGAACAACAATGGGCGTACCAACTAACCAATATTTGAGAACTGCAGTTTAGTTCTGAAATATTTTAAAGTAAAAACTTAAAGATAGTGAATGAAAACAGTGAAGATTTAAGTAACCGATTTTTTAAACATATTACATTCAAGTCCTTTGAATTTAGAAAATGATTATCAGATCTATTATTAATGACATGACTATAGTGAATTAAGTTAACCTATCCGTTTTTCAACCTGATTTATGTCTGACTGACGTCAAATGTTGTTCAATAATCACTATTATTTAAACGTTTTCTCGTGACGGAGACATTTACTTCCTGCATTTGTAGAAGATTAATGTGATCAAGATGGTTATGAATAAAAAAATCCCCGGTTAAACGGAGCTATGCTCAACAACTAACTGAAATTTATCAAGTTGACATCAATGTTGAATAACGGAAAAGGAGTTTAAATATTTGCTGTTACCATTAGTTAAATGTTCGGTTATAAATAACAACACTTTCTTATTTAAATAAAGTAACTATTATAACACGAATCCATTGAAAACGTTTCTTAAAAGGTATTGAATGCCACCTATTTAAATTTTAGTCAAATGAGTTCCAATAAAAAAGTCTATAAATTTTTCTTTTATATTTATTGTTTTATTGTACTTTCATTGTTTATAATTCTAAATTCATTTAAGGTGAAAAAGATTTCCATGGACCGATTGATTATTCAGTGTTAAAAGGAAATATTAATTCTAACCCGTATCAACTTACAACTAATGGGTCCTATCAGAGTAATGGTTACTTACCAACAAGTAGAAAATCAGGTAAACAAATAACATAGAGAGTGTATCACAATATTTTAATGCAAATTTACATGGGTATACTTTCAAAATGCATAATCTTAATCGACGTGAATTTATTTTCCCCATTAGAGTTGAATCCGTGTCGCGTGGAGAAAGTTATCCACTTCAGACAATGAATGAAGTATTGTGCAGAACCATGGATTGATTAAAGTTAGACATTACCATTGTTGGATACCCGCTCAGTGGTCTAGAGGTCAAGAGACCGAGCGCGAAACCGGAGAACTTGCGTTAGAGTCCTGTGTGCGGGATTGTGGATGCTCACTGTTGAAGAGCCCCATACTAAGGCCAAACGACCACCCAGTGCTTAAAGGTTTTCAGTGGTGTTCTAGTCGAGATCGACTCATAAATTCAACTATTTAAACTTCCCTTTTGCTTTATATATAGTCGTTTTGACTCAAGACTTTTTTAGCAATCACTGTTTTTGAATAATGAAAGATCCAATAATTTTTTAATGAATGTTGAAAAGCTGACTTTACAAATAAAATTATTAGATTACCTAAAATCTTCAATCACATATGGTGTGTTTTGAATGCTAGAAATATAAAATAAAGCTACTTTAAAGGCTTTTCTTAGATTGATATTGAATAATAAATCTGGATTTCGTTAAAATTTCAAATAGAGTAGTAATTTAATAGTTGAATTCATAAGTCAATTGAAACTAGACCACCATGGAAAACCCGAAAGGGCTGGATGGCTGTTTCGTCCTGGTATGAGATTCCTCAAGAGTGCGCATCCACGATCCCGCTTCGTGTGATTCGAACCCAGGACCTATAGATTTCGTGTGTGAACGCTCAACCACTAGGCCACTGATCTGGCATCCAACGGTGTTAATATATAACTTCAACTGATCCTCGAAATTGCTCCACCGTTCACCATTGTCATCAGTGAGTTATTATCTCACAACAGACCCGGTTGAACTCTACTAGTACAGTAGTGTTTACATACTGTTTCATGGAATTTTGTAACTTAGCAAACTACTTTATTTCAGTGTTTAAACTGATTAATTTCAAAATATAAAATAAAAGATGTATAATTTTTAGTTGGATGAGTTAATCATATCTATATAAATTTGTAAACCTACTAGACATGTTTTTTCTTCACAAGGTTATGTTTACCAATATTTCATGATTTGATGCAGATATTTATACGCTAAATACAATAGTATACGTGATTATAGGAAAGATTCGGGTGAAAATGTAATTGAGTATTTGTTAATACATAATGTATTCATTAAACGAACGTACAACGTTTCACGTTGCGAATCTTATGAAATATTTACTCAACAAAATCAGAAGTATCACCGTGGTATACATTGTTAATACTTTACTTTTTCAAAAAATTGTTTTTCTCAAATGATTTTAGATTGCTTGATTAATTTAGTTCATTTGATATGTAGGTCATGTAAAATAGTGAATATATTATATTTTCAACAAATAAAGCATAAGTGAACAGTGTATTATTTATAATGAAATAACATGTTAAATTATTTTACTATTTATTTTTCAGATACAAATGGGAGTATGGATATACAAACATTTCCTAGTGTCACTGCTCGAGCCTATGGACAAAAAACTACAGATATACCACCATGGGAATCTTTTGATCGTCAAACGAATCCTGCTATAAGATTAGATCAAGTATTAGAATATGGATATGAAGGATATGATGGTAGACCTCCACCAGAATTCTGTCCAACTGAGCCTGTTCTATCAACATCTTATGATGATTATGTTGGTGATGATGAAGATCTTAATATAGAAAGTGTTCAACAATCAATAAAACAACCCATAGCCAATGGAAAATTAAATTCCTTGAACAAATAAAACAGTTTAAAATGTACACTATACTTTTATATTCGAACAATAACTAATAATCCATTAATTTCTTTTCATATATTCGAATGATAAATTATAACTAACTAACAAAGACTGTTTAAAAGAATCATCAAAGTTATTGAATCAAAACAATAACTCTAATGATAATTCATCAATAAAATTATTGATACTTGTATGTGTTACGTCGTTATTATTCATATGAAACTTCATTTTGTACAATTTAATTTGAATGTAAAAATTCCCGCATAAAATTTTCATTTGTGAATAATTCTTCTCTATGTATTTGTTTTTATTAATTTTGTATTGTCTTCACTTGTAATTCATAAATTTTTTTTGTTTTTTAAACTGCTCATTGTTTTAATAAAGTATAGAAATATTAATTAGGGTGGATTTATTTAAATCTTTTATACTATAATTTTTTAACGATATTACAATCTATTGTATACATTACAATTATTCCTTCATCATTAGGAATATACTATTTAAACGAATGAATACATGTAATTATGAACCAATATGGAAAGCGATAATTATATCAACATAAGGCTGTAGAGATTGTTGAGTTTAAATCGATATGATGACTATATCAATGTTGGAACACTATTGAAGACCTGGAAGAACTGGACGGCCTTTTCGTCATAGTATGAGACTCTTCAGCACTACGCACCCATACTAGAACGAAACGGCCATCCAGTGATTTCAGGTTTTCAGTGGTCTTACATTGATCCATTCGTAATATCAATTTAAACTCGATAATTATATATTATGAATGTAAAGTTATGTAGAAATGTACTGTAATAAAAAGACTGGATTAATACAGGGAAGCAATGAAACTAACCAAAATTAACAGGTTAAGTTTGATATAAGGGTAGATACTTAGTATATTAGATAGACTATTTCAATTCTCTAATTTTTGGCAAACAGAACGGATGAACAATAATAAGCAAAGTATAACTGTATGAAAATCATACACATGTATTTTTCAATCAGTATATTGTATTCTAACGAGATGAGTAAAACAAGTGCGGGAAGGAAACTGTCGATCAAGAATTCATTTAATATTGTTTACTTGAAACCTTCCCATTGATATTTAGGACTGCAATTGATCAGTCTGTTATTGGCATATGTGCATACTGTCCGTATTGCCTCGATATTGCCTTAATTCACAAGCATTATATGCAAAGATGGATAGTGGCTAGCAGTGGAATCCAGGACGCGGGTTTTATTCATGTTGGGACTCGTCAGCTGGATGGACCTGCATCTCAGAACTGCTTTACACGCTGGAACCCGAACCCAGGCAATATTGAGGCAATACGCACAGTATGCACATATACCAATAAAAGATTGATCAATTGCAGTCCTAAACATTAATGAGAATTTTCAAGTAACCAATATCAAGTGAGTTTAAAGTTCACCCCATTACACAAGCAAGTGGCTATCAGGTCTCAGTAGCTAAGTGTGTAACGCGACGTCGTTTGAACAGAGCGGTATTGAGTTCGAGCTCCAGGGTGAACATCAACACTGAGATAAGGGTACTTCCAGTTGACGAGCCCCAGATAGGATAAAACGTGAGTCCTGGATTCCACTGCTAGCCGCTATCCATCTTTACTTATTATTGTCGGTCAAGAAGTGTATAGAAACATCTTAACGATAGTTTGTTCAACTGCTTACATTAGATTAACTTCAGTTGATCTTATTAAATGATTCTTGATAATTGTCAAATGATCAGTCTCATATCACCTAACTTTCCAAAGTTTATTCACAATAACTAAATAAAACACATCTTTTTTATTGTATAACTTCTGAAAACCACTATGATAGCTATAGTTTCAAGTACTAGAAAAGCACTATTTTAAAGTCCTTAAAGAAGTTTAATTTATTTTAAGAACTGAATACCACCGAAACAGCCATGTCAGTCATGCCTATTTAAAGTTATTGCACAACTTAAGGAATACTTTGATTGTAGTTTTTAAATAGTATCAATTCAGGAATACAATCACATGAAATGAACATTATTTATAAGTTATTGAAGATTATTTTAGTTTCAGGCATATGTTTGGAAAATTATATGAAAACTAGAACATGGGTTGTGCTGGTAAATTCTCTATGTATAATCAACAAACTTATTACACTTACATTTTTGAATAAAATATGAATTAAAGATGAAAGGCATACTAATCTACTTTTGGTTAGCCAAATACTATACATTAAGCTATCTGGAAAATAGAAAAAGTAGTGACATTACACAATGAAGTGGGTCATATTAAACATCATGATGTCAATGTATATTAAAAGGATTCTATGTATATAATTACATAATGTTTGCTGATATAATTGTTTAAATAGTTTAATTATCATAATATAAAATCCATAACATTATGATATGGTAAAGATTTGTAGCTCAGGTGGATGATTTTGATGGAAGAACTATGAAAGCTTTACGACTAAACCATCCTGCTTAAAGAACAAAACTCTATAAAAAAAATTCATGACATTGAACGTACACCGATTATTCTAAAATTTTTGAAATCTTGACTAAAATCTATTGTAACAAGTATGTTGGTTATCCAACTTTGTGCCTAAAAAATAAGTCAATAATTAGTTAAACTTAAAGATACATTACTATATGACTAGGTTAGAAAGCTATATGAATGATCTTATACCTAATTCATAATAAACAGTGAGAGGATATTGGTTTCATCAAGAATTCCAGAAATGAATGTACAAATAGTTGGTTTTAATTAGTGAATCGTTGCGCAAATCGAATCAATGACAGCTAACCTGTAAATTAATGAGTGAGTCAGTAATTCAGCTACAACGTAAAACTAGGCACATATATGCATCGGTCCAAGTTACCACACCTCATTAGCGTAATAAGATGAACACCAAATTCATAGAAGCAGTCACTTCAATGATAGTATATATAAAAAAAGACTGCATATAAGGATATGGTATAGGAAGATTTTAATCTCATAGTTTAAGGGAAAACAGAGAGTGTATACACCTACGCTATTTTGATCGATTCTTATTCATGTCACCCAGAGTCTCCAACCATTGTTTACGATAGTCACGCGGACTCCAACCAAGTAGTCTGCATCTACCAACATGGCTAAGACTAGACGTTAGCCATGACATTAACTTTATATAAAGTTATCAATTAAAGAAAGCTGTATACTATTAAATTAGGATGAAATAATTTGAATTACTTGATATATAAATAATTTTAGATAAAAAAGTGGCTATTCATTTCTGATTACTACAGTTAAACTTAATTTATAACACTAATCCTCATTTCGAATTTACTTCAACAGCATTTTAACAGTAACACTGAACACACACAGACACACACTTAAAGTTCATACTATTTTTATCAAAAATATCAACAACAAAAGTTTTTTTACAAGAATACACTTAAGAAACCATCTTTTATTTCTACACTACATACTAAACTTAAATGTACTCGTAAATACTTCGGTTTATTTTTTTTGTTATGCAAAAAAAGAAAAAAACTTCACTGAATTTAAATCTCTCAAAAGAATATGTAAAACAGTTCACTTATTTTGTACATTGATTTATTGTTCTAATATATCATTGTGTTAAATTCAAGTGAAATGACAATTTAACACAATGATATATATATTTCGAAATTTAATGATGCATAACGTGTTAAATTACAATACGATAGTATAATAGTGTAGTTTATAATATGAAGGTGAACATTGAACTATTTCGACAAATTATTCTAGTTAGTCTATCGTGATGATATAATAAGGTCAATCATAGAAGTAAATGAAATGATTATAGTATTTATTATAGTTTAGTTTTATTTAAGTTTTGTGAACTTCCTATAGTTTCGAATGTATGATTATTCTTATTATATTGCTTTTTTAAATTTTTTAAGATCATGAATTGATCACTGTGAGACTACTACTGAAAATCTGGAAGCATTGGAAGACGGTTTTGTCTTAGTATGGAATTCATTCACAGTGCATATTTACAATACCTCACGCGAGATTCAAACACAGGTTCTTCACTCTCGAGTAAATGTGTAATTTTTATGTTATGTTCGAACGAAAAATAATTGAATGGTAATTGTTAGGGTCTATTTATATATTCTTACTGTATAGCTATTAAGTAACTATATTCAATGTATATTTATATTCCCTTTATTATAAGCTTCCATTTGACCTATTGAATACTACGATACGATTAATTATTCCTAAGTTATTCTCAAATTATTAGTTAAAATATCTCACACTCACAGCCACTTTTGACCTGATCTTGCATAATTGTTATTTTCTATTTTAGGGTATCATGTTGTTTGGTTTGTTTATATAAAAGTCAGGTATATTTGAAATAAATGATTTATATAACAGTGGCTGTTATTTGTGTTCTGGACTAAACCGGCTGGGATGGGAGAAAAGCTACTTTCTTGGAGGACCGATAAGACTCAGAGTTAAATCCAGGCTGCTCGTACTGGTTTATGCGTCATTGGTCTGGTCAGTAAGTCGGTGTTCTAATTAACGATCGCATTACATAATATATTCGCAGGTCATAAGGACATTTTAGTGGCTTTGAATCTTACTCTAATTGTATCGTTTCTGATTGCTGTTGAGATATGCATATCGTCAATCCTCGTATATAGTTATCGACTAAACCTGAGTTGGTGAATAAAGGAATTAAATAAGTCAAATGCGATAAAGGATATTGAATACGTATATTACATATAATCGTTGATCCAAACAAAGGATCGGAAAAACGAAAAGAAGAAAGCGAAGCGAAATGACGCGCATTGGAGAAGGCGTGTGATCCAACCCCATTTAGTTAAGCGTTAATCAATATTTATAGTGACACAAAAATAAGCTACGGACAAGTGATGAGCAGGATATGAAGTGTACACATATACGCTCATCTAAAAACAGTCAGAATAAATAAGCCAATAATTAACAAGATCAAAACGTGACTTAAGAAGAATGGATAAATTGTCCTGTCCAGAATCTAGAATAGGTTATATGGGCTTGACATAGCATCCG